GGTTTTAACCTGCCACACAAGGAATTATGTAAGTGCATCCTAGAAATTCTTACTCGTTTAACAACCGAACGTTAGATAACGTAGATTGCAGTGCAGTGTGTCTGGTGATTTACAGGAACATTCATAATCGTTTATTAAAACTGTAACTCGGGCAGAAAAGAATTGTTTGCAGCAGGGATAAAAGCCATAAAACAGAGGAATAAACAGCCGATTAAATTTAATCTGAAGGAAGAAAAAGGGCTCTTGGGTATCCAGCTGGGAGGCGAGTTCAGCCGGCTGCGCGGCCGCGGCTCGTAGCGGGGAGGAGGTTCGCAGAGCCCCCGCGCGCAGCGCTTCTCCGAGGTGGCAATGCCGTCGTGCGCGGCGAGGAGGGGACTTGGTAAGTCACCAGCCGGCACTGCCAGCAGCTCGCTCGCAAACAACAGCCTGGCGGTTGGAGTCCCGGTATGGTTTTCCCACCCCCCCTCCTGCCAGAACACCGGTAAAGCCCCTCGCCCCACACGGCCAAAGGAAGGAGGTTTCTAGGCTCTTCCCGCGTATCCCTTGGCCGAGTCGCGTTGCCGGTGAGCACCGCGCAGGCTGGAAAACTTCTCCCGCTTTGCCCGGCCAGGCCAGTAAGGAGTTTTCTAGAAATATCTGTAAATGAATAGCTGCCATCAATCATTGTCATTCCTTTATTTCATGTCTCCTGATGAGGTTGACTAGTGTCATTGTTTGTTACTGTCCAAACCACATCTTCATTCTTGTAATGTCAAGCAGATATGACAAGCACACATTTTCCAGATGAGTAAGATACAAAGTCACCTTTTAATTTACAGTTGTTTGGTTCTTTTTGTTTGTTGTTTTGTTTTTAATAAGCAAATGTGTCGTAAAATTTCCTGGATGTTCAGTTGCCTTTGGTACTAAAACAAAGTCGCTCATTAATGAAAAGAAATAAATCCGGAGTAAGAAATTCTTACAATAAAATGGCTACCTAAAGCCTTTTATAACAAGAATTCTTTTATGGAGCTTGTCCCCCGCTATTAACTTCACTGCTCTCAGAGCAAAATCTGCCAAAATTATTGCTGGAGCAAAAGAAATGCAGAGGGCAGGGAAATATATTTTAAAAAGAGGAAAGAAAAAAAAAAAAACCAATGAGATAATTGACTGTTTTGCCCTTTCATTTTTAAATAACAGTTAGATAAAGAGAAATACAGCCCTCGGGGGACCGAATGGTGGGACAGTCCTTTGGTTTTTTGGGGTTGTTGTTGAAATCTCTGTGTTCCCGACACTGGCAGATTTTTAAGAGTGATTCCAAACACTTGGTAGGGAGCGTGTGTGTGACAGGGGGCTAGTTAATGGAGTCAGTATAAAATGCAAACTGGACAAAAATGAACAAAACAAACCCAACACTCTTAAAAAAGACCGTAATGTAGGTGACCGGGTGCAATATAAAAGGCCAGAGTCTGCAGTTTTCCAGAAGAAAGGTCCACAGAGTCTGTGCTGCCAATTTACCTCCGCTGGCAGCCTCCCTTCCGAGACCACCATCGAACACCTTTCAGCTGCAGTTGTGTGCAGCTTGTCTAAATATGTAAGATAACTTTTGTGGGCCTGCAGCAGCATTTTGGCTGGGGCCCTGAACAAAGAAGCACCAGCGAGCTTGGCACGGCACCTTGGGAAGGGATTGTAAATTACTGGAGCATCATATAACTTTCTTTCTTCGGTTTCTCCTTTCTTTTTAAGCTAGAATAACAGTGCAGGGTCAAAAAAGCAACCGTATTTGACTGAAACAATTAATTTAAAGTACTTGCAAATTAGCTGTACAGTTTGGGTTTGAATATTAGCCATTCTCATTTTGTACTTTGTTTAAAAATCTCATTCAAACTGTACAAGCCCTCTTGAAAGAGGGTAGGTTACATATAAAACTACATATGCAGATGTTGGCATTATTTTAAATCACAGATCAGCTGGGGCAGAGGAACAATATATTTAAATTTATCCTTTTCTTTTTGTATTGCCTAGGAAGTTTAGTGCTTCCCGTATAATTTGCCTCCTAAATTTCATTTTTTTTAAAGCGAGTGCATTGGAAAAACCAAAATGCAGATATAAATAGCAAGCTGCATGACATGTTCATTTTCTAACAAGTAAGGGAAGGTAAGTTTAGCGTGGGATTGTCCTTTTTAACCTGCTCCTAATTATTCTTAGGAATTTTAAGCATCTGTCCCAGAGCAGATACATTTAAGAGAAATACATGTGTGTGTTAGCATTCTCCAGAGAAATCTCAAGCTTTATCCCCAGGGATGTGCACACACCCAGCCCCCCAGCTCTGCCCATGCAGAATGGTTTCACCACGCAAGACCCGCAGCACTGGGCGGCTGCAGGGAGAGCTGCGGCTGCTCGTCTCCCTTCCCGTGGCAGAAAGCCACGTTTTGAACGACCGACTGAGCATAAGTCGTGCGACTCGTACTTTTTTGTCGCTCGAGATCATGCGGTGCCATGTCCAACGCCTTTGGGTTCTGAGATTTGGGGTAAATGGGCTTTGGAGCAGGCACCCAGTGGGATGCTCAATGAGGTGTGGCTTCAGAGTGGTTAATGAAAGCAAAATTGGCCCTAATTATTGGCAGTTGTGAAGGTTGTGTCAGTTCTCAGCACTTGGCAGGGAACTCCCTGTGCCCCTGCCTTGGGCAAGGAGGTCTTAAAAAGCCCATGGCATACCCTCAGCTCAATGGCTCACACCCACCAAAGGTCTGCTCTGTGTCCGCCTTGTTTGGGGCACGTGAAGTGGGGAAAAGCTGATTAGTCTGGAGTAAAAAAATATACATTTCAAACATGCTTTCTAGCACATCTGCTAAAAAAAGTTCACCAGCTAAAGGGCTAGAGGACTCTTCAAATTTCCAGCTGATTTACCCAGCTCTCGGGGCCTCGTTGGCTGAGCAGGAGGATTGACAGTGTATCAGGGCTCCTAATTGAAATGTAATAAAATCTCTGAGCGAAGCTGGCAAATGAAGGCCTCCAGCCAATTTGTCAGCTTGCAGTCAACTCCGAGGAGCCGGGCAGAGCAGCAAGCCATTAAAAATAGTCTGATAATAGCTGTTAAAACATTTTGCGGGCACTAGGGATGGAATTGAAAACAGCATAGACAAACTCTTTGGGAGTGAACTCGATCAAATCGATCCTGGCCCAGAGGAACAGAGACGACGGGGCAGAAAGCTGTCAAAACAGACAGAGCTGGCCCGTGCTATGAGCCCCGGGGCTGGGTGGGCTCTGCGTCCCATGCCCAGGGATGCTGGAGAGGTGCTGGGGAGGTTGTCCCCGTCCCCCTCACCCTGCCACGTCACTTGGCACCGTCATCGGCTTCTGTCCCCGCGCTGAATGCAGGGAGCCGGCGGCGGAGGGGGATTTGGGACCGGGGAGAGAGGCAGGGGGGAGGCAGCTGGACCTGGTGCACAGAGAGAAACAGGGGAACGGACCCTCAAAAATGAACCAGCTGTAGGG